GGGCACTGCCAGTCTGGGCTTAGAGGCAGTCTGTGCCCTCCAAGCACTGGGAACAGCAGAGACATCCAGCCCAGAGCAGACACAGATTGTCAGGGGTTAAGGCACCTGAAAGCCATGCAGGTTTATGGTGTAAGCAGGTGCCATGTTTGTGTCTAGGAACAAATGCAAGCCCTTGCCTCCTTGTATTCCAGGGTCAAGAAAATGCCTTTGTCAAGGACTTTGTCAATGCTGCAGAGGTGAGGAAGGAGATTGCTCATTTGTTTATCAACACAAATGAACTAGTTGTGTTTAAAAATAAAATTTTAAAAATACAATTTCAGGAATAAATTAATCTGTGGAGACTAGGTCCAGTGTCCAGGGAAACATGAAATGTTTTCAGACCTTATTTTTCTCAAAAACTGAAAAGAGATGCTTCTGTGCTGTGTACAAATGCAGAGCTATGTGCCTGAACCAATATGTCAAACTGTCATGTGGGAGATTTGGTGAAAAACATCTTGTCCTAAGGGAATAATTTTAAACACTATATGTAGGTTTGCTGCCTCATAAGGGATCATTACTCAAATCTATTCCCTCTTACGGTAGCTCGGCCTCTGCTTAACGGGCACGGAGTGAAGGGAAGCCCATTAATGCGTCCTTTAAGAGTGGTTCTCAGATGGTGGAGGGGAAACAGATCTCTGATCAGGGAATATCGTGTTATTGGCCAAATCCTTCGATTCAGCCTTAACAAGATGAGTAGCAATGCAGGGCCTTCACGCTCGGCTGGCCATCGAGGGCGGCGGCGGGGCCGTGCTGTGCCGGGCAGCCGGACCCTGGGCAGCGCAGCCGTGTCACGGCGGTGAGCAAGTGTAAGGGATGAGCCCTGGGGCAAGGAGCCGGTCTAGGGATCTTCACCTCCTGTTTGTCACTTCAATCTCCAAGGAATGCTGACATGTGGAGTGGAACCCACTCCCAACCAGACCCCTACCAGACTGTGTCTGCGCTCTCGCTCCTGCGTCTCGCCGCTTTCCGTCCTTTTGTTGGTGGTGATTTTGGTAAAAATGAGAAGGATGGCATTAGCAGCACCTGAAGAGCAGCATCAGCTCCTGGTGTCTCAGCACAGCATCTGCAGTTGCCTTGGCTACACCAGCCCTCCCTCAATTAGCCTCCTCTCTGACAAGAAGATGCACTCAATGTGTGGTAGCTGTGCAGGTGAACTCGTTTTTAATGGGATTACTTTACTTAAAAACTGGGACACCTCTGGGTTTGCAGAGTGCTCGGTGGGGTTGTCACAGTAAAGAGAACAAGTTTGTTTTTTCATAATGCATAAGAAGATGCTACATGACAAAAGAGGCTTTATATTGAGCAGCTTAACTGCTCAGGGTCTCATGAAAAAGGGAGAAGGAAGCTGGAGGGGACTGAAGGTGTGTACACATGCTGTCTGCAGAGTAAGGTGAATGCCAGGGTCTAACCTCACTAAAGAAATGTGTTTTTTCTCAGATGATATGGAAAAGCAGCCTGTAGTGTGCATATTGAATTGTTTTGTGGTGCAGAACTCCTGGTTCTCTTCCTGTGTCCCCAGGCTCCAACGCTGCTGGCCAGGCTCCTGGGTTAGTCACCACGCTGCCATTAATGCTGTGTAAACAAACAAACAAACAAACAGCAACCTTTTCTTTTTGAAGGCTGTGTGCCTTTGCAAAGTAGAGCAGAACGAAAGAGCAGCTTCCCAAATGTGCAAGGTCAGAGCAGAGGGTCGGGCCTGGAGGGAGGCTGGGGAGCCTGGCTGGGCACTCTCTTCTTGCTGTTTGTCTGGGGCTGAATGGCTGGAATGTGTTTGGCTGGGTAAAGCTGGTCAGAAGCTCTTGTTTAAAAGCAAACTGTCTCTTGAGACCACCACAGCATCATCAACAGCAGTGGGGAAGGACACCACCATGGGGGAGTATTTTCCAGACTTCTTTTGGTCTTTGGTCACTTTACTGCTTTGAGTTTCATGCCTTTCACATGAACATGATACGAGCTTAGAGATGATGTTTGATTTCTTACCTCTGCTTCAGCATTTGCTGTTTCCAAGTGGCACATGCTGTCCTTTGTGCAGGGTGGTTGTGCTTTTGTCAGTCCCGGGTTCTGTGTCATGTCCTTTGGCTTGGAGGGGAAGTCTCCACCCAGACCATCTCAAGATCTTGGGTGTGGAGGATGGCCCTTACTAGCAGCGTACTGCTTTTTTTTAATAACACCAATTTCTTGCAGGAGTTGCTAATAGAGGCAGTTGTGCAGTTTAAAGATAATTTGTTTGAAAATTCCCTGCTTTCAGTGAGCTACTTTGTGACTGACAATGATTTATCTGGAACTTGGCAGCTGTGAGGCAATGATGTGGTGACACCATCTTGCATTACCTGACTAATTTTAACATGCCGAGTCACGTCCCTCTCAGCTACCAGAACTGCTCTGGACCGTGGACACTGTGCCTGGGGAGTGCCAGGACACTGTGGCTGTGAGGGAGGAGGCAGACAGGATGGCTGGTGAAAGAGGTCTGCTGGGAGAGTTACTGTTCTGGACAAGCATCAGGCAGTACCTCATGCTTAAGAACATAATTCTCACCAGGTGGATCAGCACAACTTTAATTTTTTGCTACAAAGTTTTTTTTCTTGGAAAGCATCATACTTTTGTCAAGACAGAAATAATGGAAAAAAGTAAATTGCACTGAAAATTTCCATCCAGATTGGCTTTGAGAATTCTTGTGCCAGCGCAAGCTTTGCTGCAAGCTCTCTTTGTTTTGGATTTGAATACGTCACTTTCTGTGCTCATTAATGACAGACAGGAGAGCTGGAGCTCCCACAGTGGTGTCCCATGGTGAGCCAGGCTTGTGTGGACAGTGTCAGTCAGTATTGGCTTTGCAAACTGAGGTGAGTTCCTGCTCATCTCTTTTACTTTCCTCTCAAGCCAAGGAATCTTGTTCATCCATGTGGGACAGATTTTGTTTTGATTTCTTTATCAATAGTTTGCTTATGGATTTTATCCACAGCAAATGGCTTAGAAAGAATTTGCTGATTTACAAACAAGCCTAATTTTTCATTCTCTAATTCCCTGTGGCACATGAATTTGTTTATGTAGTCGTTGCTGAGGAGCAGCTCTGTTCTAGGTGTCGGGGTGCCTGCACAGCTGGTGCAGGGGAGCTCTGACTCCAATCCCAGCCTGGGAATGTGCCACCTCTGCCTTGGCTGTTGGGGGTCCCCTGCAGCCCTTGTAGAAACACTGCTGGGACCCCTGGGCCCCTTGTGGCAGCAGTTCAGCTGTGGGACTCTTTCCTCTTTCTCTGCAGGAGAGGAAGAGAGCTGCTGTCACAAGGACTAATCTCGAGGCGCTGGCTCTTCCTGTGCCGAGCCCAGCATGTCCTGTGCAGTCAGGGAGACCTAAGAATAAAAACAGTGGGTACTGCGTGTCTTGTGAACAAATACAAGCAAGGAAAACATTTCCTGTTCACAATTTTCTGCGCAATCCCATCTGAGCTTTGAATATTTTATAAATTAAAAATGTCTTAGGTATACTTGCATTCTGGACAGTAAGTTTAATTGAACACCTGATCAAATGGTGGTTATTCAGGGAGTCTGGGGTCTTTGCCCTGTGATTTTCCCAAAGCTGTAGGACTCAGGGGTGACAGGAAAGAAGAGTAGAAGCTCCATGTGCTGGGAGGGGATCTGTGCCAACACCTCTTTGCCTGCCGGAACTTTGGTTATCACGCAGCAGCCTCTGCTCCATGCTTCTGCTGGGCCCCTCAGTGCTGCCTATTTATTAAAACTGATTAAAACCACCCATCACCAACTGCAGGGGAGCTGGAATCCCTTTGGGTGTAGACAGTGTGAGCACCTTTGCCCTGCTGCTGCTGGATCCTTGACTGGAGCAACACAGGAGGGTGCCTGCAGTAAAGCAAGCAGGGGGCCGGGCTGAGGAGTGCAGCAGAGCTCTGTGTGGATTTTGCACATTGCAGCACTAACCCAGAGCAGGGCTGAGCAGGCAGCAGTGCTGCTCTGGAGCCTGGTTCCTTCTCCCAGCATTGATGGCATCACATCCTCAGATTCTTGGTAGTTCCTGTGTGGTGTTACACTGTTTTAGATATAAGCATCCCTGACATCCTGTGATAATCAAGCATTGAAAGCCTTTTCCAGTTTAAACCAGGGACTTCTATGCTAGTTTAGCATTATTTTTTAATATTATTGTGATTGTGTAACAAGCTGTTCAGTTCTAGTATTGTATCTGGTATAGCAGGAGGTTCAGTGAACGTAATATGAGTTGCCCCTTGAAGTGTGGTATCCCCTACACTGCTTGGGGAGGAAAAGGTGATGGGAGGAAAAGTCCTGGGATGTTAAACAGTTACAGCTGGTTTTTGGCATCTTTGTCATGTTCTACCCATTTTAGCTACTCTTCACATGAACTGTAAAAGCTGGAGGAAAAAGTCTTAGAGACATTGTTTAGGATGTTTCAGTTAAAGTCTTACATTTCTGTGGTTAACAGAAACTAATGATAGCTAAAGATCATACCAAGTCCTAAAATGAACGAATTCTTAAGAAAAATGTTATCACGGTGCTCCTTTAAGAGGAGAGAAGGGAGACTGATGCTGGGACTGACCATGAGGGCATGGAGGGTTTGGGGTTGGCTTCCTGCTTGGTGGTGTTCCAGCATCCATTTCCAGCAGGGAAGGAAAGTTCCCAATTGTGCTGCGGTCTAGGATGCACTCATCGGTCCTGGGTCCATTCAGACACATCACTGGTTTCTCTCAGGTGCTGGGTGTTCTTCTGGCCCGGTGAACAAGATCTCACTTCAGAGCGGGCAGGGGGAGCCATACCTTTGGTGGTGACTCGGAGATGCAGCAGAGGGGCGCGGCCGGGGGGGAGAGAGGTGGTGGCAACACCACTGGCAGGCTGTGAGTGGCTGGGGTCGCAGGCTGTGAGTGGCTGGGGTTGCAGGCTGTGAGTGGATGGGGCTGCACATCACAGGTCTCCTAATGTCTCTCTGTGAACCCTTTGCAGCCCACGACCTTCCCCCGAGCAAGACCTCGGCGGCGGCGGCGCAGACGGGCGCCCACCTGCAGTGCCTCTCGGTCCACTGCACGGACGACGTGGGCGAGGCCAAGGGCCGGACTGCGGTGCCGACGTGGAGGTCCCTGCACTCAGACATCTCCAACAGATTCGGGACTTTTGTGGCTGCCCTGACTTGAACAAAAGAAAATTTTTTTTCTTTCTTTTCTTTTTTTTTTTTAATTTCAAAGGGCCGCTACTGCTAGGTGGACTATTTTTCTAGGTTGGTACCTGCTTAGTGGCATATGGACTGGAAAGGGTTAATTTAAAGTAAACCTCAACTTTTTTTTAATCTTCTGCCACAGTATGTTACCAGTGTTAACCCTTCTGCAGTTAGCACACTTTTGCTTAAGATTTTCCTGCTAGACCACTTTTTCCCATTATTCTGTAACCTTGGCATACATTTATAGATGAGGCCTTTTCCTTTTTCATCTCAGTGTGTGTCCAAGTCACGTATGTCATAATAAGACAAAGATTCTCCTCTTCCTCCTCCTCCTCCTTTTCTTCCTCATTTGCTTTGTTTTTCTTTTTTTTTTTTTTTTTTTGTTTTTTTGTTTTGTTTTGTTTTGTTTTGCTTTGTTCAGTGCTTATTAGGATGGTGATCCTGAGGAGCAGCAGTTCAGGAATAAACACCAGTGAAAGTGAAATGGTCAGCATTAAATCATATGTTACAGTGACACCCAGCCTTTGCCAGTCTCATACCAACCAAGCAGCTGATGCTCTGTTGAATGTTCAGGCATGGACCTGCCCTTTCCTGAGAGAATGAGGCTCTGTTTTCAGCCTTGTTTTGCTCTGTGCCTCCTGGTGAGGCCAGGATGCTCCTTCCTCTGTGTACCCTGGGATGGAGCTCTGTCATGAATGGGCTGGTTCAGGCACAGCAGGGAAGGTATGGAGAGTTTTTTTAAATAAGTTTAATGTCATTATCTCTTCCTCCGAAGGCCCAGGCTCCTTCTTGCTTGCCTGGGCCTGATGGTGCTCCTGCATTTCCCACTTTATTGATAGTGGAGAAGAAAATCCCCTGCACCCTGCCCACTTTTTGCCCATTTTAAACTGCAGAAAGATGCTGTTGATTGGCAGCAGGTCCAAGTCCCCTGCACTCGCCTGGGTGTGCCCCAGCCCCTGCCACAACAGCTCCCAGTGCCGTGGCAGGGGTCAGGGATCGCCCAGGTTGGGAGATGCAGGGGGCTGTGTGCCCAGGGGTGGCATTTCCTAATCTGCCAGGGCAGGGAGACCTGGTGTCAGAATCCCCCAAACTCATTCAAGGCCTCATTTCTGCCACACACTGAAGAACAGCATTGCTGGATGCACACAATAAAAGGAAAGCCATACTTTCCTGCTCGGGCTAGATAATGCTCATTCAAAATGAAAGTTGGAAGCAAACCAGATAAAGCCACAGCTGACATGATGGGCTGATTCTCCAGTGGTTTTATGTCACATTGTCCATGATTTGTGTGTCCCTGTGCCCAGGAGTGGCCCTGTCCTGCCCCATGCCTGCAGCTCACCTCCCACAGCTCCTGGAGCTCAGGAACAGCACTAGAGGGTTTGGTTTTGGTTGTGAAATAAAGGTTGGCCTCTCTAGGGTTATTTATTCATGATTTCACAAATGTGTCCCTGCTGAAGGGACAGAGTTGAAGACTGCTTTATATTTTATCTTTGATGATTGTGCTGGGTCTTTAATTATTTTGAGGTAATATTCTTGGTAGACACCAACGGAGAGGAAATTCTGCCTAAAAAGCCAAGGGAGGTCTGGAATCCTCACTCTCAGTCCTATGTGGCTTCAGAGAGACTCACAGTGTTTGGAAATGTGATTTGAATGTGCTCTTATTAACCATGCATGGATTGATTTATGGGTCTGGTCAATGAATTGACTTTGGATAAATTTGGATAGTTTTTAATCTTGGTTTTCAATATTATTTTACTTTGTATTAAAGCTGGAGCTTCCACGAGGATGAGGATTTTTGCCCATCCTGGAGCAACTGGCTGTGGAGCTGCCTCACACCCACTTGGTTTGGATCAAAAAGCTGGGATGGTTTGTACCTCTTGTCAGGGTGTGCAACCAGGAGTGCAGAGCTCCTCCTGCACCTGCAATAAAATGTCACCATCCCCAGTAAAGTATCTCCTAGCAATCACTGTCAGCCCCCTTCCAGAAGGTGCCTCTTTGCCTGTGATTCCTCAAGTCCTGGCTTACCTAAGTATGTGTTTGATTTTAAATCCTGTCAGCAGAGCACATTTGCTGCTGTGGAGGGCTCAGTCTGCAGCAGGGGGCCCTGGGGTGACACCAGTCACTGAGTTCCATCACTTCCAGCTGAAAATTTTGGCCAAGTTCATGGTCTGGTGGCATTCCTGCTCGGAGTGCAGTCCCTTGCCTTGTGCTTTGTTTTTAGTCTTTCCTGCTGCACTGAAGAGAACAGGTTTTTCAGGCTTCCTGAGGTCAGGGATGCACACCCTGTGCCACGGGAAGGAACCTGTCAGGGAACACCGAGTTCAGATGCTTTTAAAGAGAAATCCCCGTTTGAGTGGAGCTGTGGTGGCTTGGTCTCACCACCCAGTTCTGCTGGCTCATTCTCAGCAGCTTGCACTTCTCTCCAGGAGTGTTGTTCTCATCCCCTTGGAACTTGCTTTCTCACTTGCTTATGGAAATGCAGAGCATAAGCAGTTCCCTTAAAATCAGTGGAATCCTGTGAGGTGAGGAGGTGCCCTGAGGCCAGGGGCTGTGTCTCCAGTGCTGAGCTGTGCAGCCTGGAGCCCTGGGTGTTGTGGCACTTGGCCACCCCTGGCTCTGCCCCGGGCAGTGTGTGCAGTGCAGGGTTGGGACTGTCAGAGAGGGAGGATTGGAGGCAGTGGCTGGCTGTGTGCTGGCCTCACTGCCCATGGAGTTTAACTGAATCATACAGTCACACACAGTCCTCTTGCTGACCTCCTGTCTGATCTTGATTGAAGGAGCTCTGCTTGAGGCAGCTGTTAGCCAGGACCAACTAAACCTGTGCTTTTAGGGTTTTGTTGCTTTTTTGCCAAAGATCAGAACAGAAACTCTACATTCTGACCAGGACAGGCATCGTGTCCTGCTCTTCACCTGGGGATGTGGTACTGACAGCATATACAGAAGGTTCAAGCTTTGTCAGCATGGCAGCACCTGCAGTAATTTCATTGTACCCATTTTCTCCATTGATTTTACACTGAATGCACTGATCAGTCTTTTAAACACATATAAAGTGTCAGCATGGCCTGACATGGTAAGAATGGAAATTATGTCATTTTCTAAATAATAATATTCCAACAGAAACATGTTTGGGAGCTGTAGGTAAAAGCCAGTTGTGGAAGAGGTAAGTTGCACTCTTGTGGGGAGGGAAACTGAGGCACAGACAGCAGTGGGAGCCTGAGGGAACAGTGGCAAGGCTGAGCTGCACTGAGGTCTGACCTCTGCTTGCTGCAGAGCTCCGTGCCTGAGGCTCACTTCCCTCAGGGGCCAAGTTGGGTCAACAGGGGGAGAATTTTATCAGATACATGTTCCCCAAATGCCTGGGAGAAACCTCCAGCCTGTGTGTCCTACAGGGCTTCCAGATGGGGGCAGCTGGACAAGAAGGCAAAGAGGGGTGGTAGAATGCACAATCTGCCTTGGATTGGGAACAGCAGCTACAATGTGGCTTTGCCTTTTGCCCTGGGGATTCTCCCTGGCTGGCTGGGCTGGGGGAGCCAGGACATCCCCCCTCTCCTGGCCCTGTGCCCTGCCTTCCTCTGTGTTCCCTAAAAGGAACCCTGTGCTTAGTCTGCAACTTGCAATGTCATAGCAAACCCAGCAAAATTCCCTTTGCATTTCAGTTGGGAGGAACGATCAAATACCTCTTTGCCAAAAAAGGACAGAATAGGCCTCGTTTATTAAATACTCCTGCAACTTTTCTCCAGATCACATTCTCCTGGGGTTACTTGCTCTCTGCTGTTTGAGCATCAGTAAGGGGCTTTGGGCTTGTTACTTAGTTAAGGTTTTCACAGTGTCTGAGGGTGGAAGGGGATGAGCACCAGAATTCTGTCACTTGGATCACCTGGGGAGTTGTGCAGGTCCTGTGGTCCCCATGGTCACTCTGGGGCTGGCTGGCCCTTGGGAACCTGGGGTTGGGACTGGACTTCCAGGCACCACCAACAAGGCAAAACGTTCCAGTTTTGGGAGGTGGAAGGGATGAGGTGAGCACAGCAGTGGGATGGGCACTGGGTGGGTGGGTTGGACAACAGAAACCAAACTGGTACATTTGACTTATTTTTGTTAGGCTGCAGTGTAAGGTTTTGTCAGCTACTGGATTCACAGCTGTTCAAGGGATGGTGTGTAAGAGCATAACCCATTTTTGTAGAATTGTTTCTTCTTTAATGCTTAAGGCTAACGGAGGAAATAGTCTAATTTTGTCTTAGAAATTCTCTATTAAAATTGTTGCTTTGAGTCCATCCGCTCATAGGTTCTGACTGATGAAACTGCAGGTTCTGATTTCCGGCAGTTATAACTTTATCACTATTCACTACCCAAGAATATTACAGCTTTAAAACAGCCTTAAGCAAAAGGATATTATTTCTTTGTACTAAATTTGGTTCATGGAAAAGAAAAAAAAAGAAACCTCAAAACACTGGTAATCCGTACTGCATTAGCAAACTCTTCTGAAAAATGTTATTGCACATGTAAAATATGAAAACTTGACTCTGCTGTGTGTTAGGCAATCCTGTAATCTTTTTTTTTTTTTTTTTTTTTTTTTTTAATTCTTGTTAAATTCATTTCCTAAATGCTTGGTTGGAAGACTGTGACGATAGCTCATGAAATTGAGTGTTATTTTTCTTTCTTTTTTTTTTTAAATATGTAAAGTGCAGTCTTCTGTATTCCTGCATATTGTACATATCTGTATATGTTTTACTGAGCAACTAAATAACAATAAATATGATGTTAATGGTGGCTACTCTATATTTCATACCAGCTTTGTTAATTTTTTTAGCAACTCCTTTTTCCCATGGGTGTGAAGAAGTGAATGGATACTGCTCATATTCAGGTAAGCCCTGGACCTTGTGATGGGTACAAATTTGCCTATGATCTCAGGAAACCCTCACCCAGGATGGTGGCCCTGTCTGTACACTGAGGTTGTTGGTAGCCTCCTTGCTGCTGGGG